ACTTTAATACTTTTCACTATTTAAACTTTCAATTAGAACCTTTATTTAATTAAAGAAGGGGTATAAGATATGTTCTCTCTCTCTCTATGAAATGTCCGCGTTAACTGACACGATTCAACTAAAAACAATAACAATTAGAAAAGAAAAAATATAAAATCACAAGCCTTCGCGATTAAATCATATCAGGTGGTAAATAAAAGAAACTATTTGGTAGATTGATTTTTATATTCAACCTATTTGTTGACATTCAAAAAAATAAACTGGCAGAAGAATGAATATCAACTGCATCATAAAAGTCCCCACAATATAGTAAATTCTCCCTAATCGATGCTCAGTTTGGAAACAAAAATGGACAATTTGGAAAGAGGAAATACGAATTATTCGCACCTCGCGATTCGTTTTTATAGTTACCGATTGCCAACAACTATAAAAACGGGCCGCAGAGCTCGAATAATCGTATCTCTTCTTCCCTAAATTATCCATTTTTGTGTACAATCTGAGCGTCAATTAGGGAGAATTTACTTAGCAATATACGTTCACAATGATCAGACCACAATTTCTGAAACAAACATTACTCTGACAGCTGATCTGACAGCTGTTTTCCTGGATTTAGCTGTTTTTACGGATTTAGCTGTTTTCACGGATTTAGTTGGTTTCCCGGATTTAGCAGCTTTCCCGGATCAATCATCGGACGCCCTTGGAATCATCCAAATCCACGCAAAACCCATCGCTTTCGCCTTCAAAATAATGAGAGCATTAATAACATTCATCGGCAAAGATCAAACCCCATCAATCGTTGACCTAATTTCTCCACGCGATCGCACCCGCACGGTCCTCCAGCAACAATAGGAGAACCTCCGTACAGCGAGATTCAATTTTTCCTTCGAATTACCATGAAATTAGTTAGCGCGAACGGAGATCGGGTCGATGACAGCCCTACAAGCCGACGCCGATCCTTCGGCATCGCGAGTCGAACTCATCGGGGTTACAATATCGTCGATCATAATCTCGTTAACGAAACAATGCGGCGGCACACACGGGTTACGAATGCCACCCCAACTCGCGGTCCTGCTGGAAACACGAAACCGTGGAAAACGGAGGGATGGCGCGCCAGCGGAGGGTTGTAGAAAGGTCGAAGTCTCGCGCGGCGAGGGCCGCGTAGCCACTCGTTGGTGCAACGATGTCGTTAGATCTTAATGGCCGACACCGACGCTTAAGGACGTTTCGACAAGCAAACCGTACGCGGCCGAGAAACGGGAGGGCGGGACCAAGCCGAGCAGAGCCGAGCCGAGCAGAGCGGAGCGGAGCGGAGCAAAGCGTTCGAGGGTGCGT